GGATGGAATTCTGCATGACCCATTGCGTTGGTCTTGGGATGCCCTTCCATCCACGATCCATCACGGCGGCGGCCTCCAGCATGATGGGAAAAGGCACAGACGGCTGGTATCGAGGCCCAATCTCGATATCACGCTTCACAAGCGCTGAAGCGAGACTAAGTTGCTTCGCACGTTCTTCCCCGCCTGGCTTATAACCGGACGCAAGATAAGCCACCGGGTTGTCGAGATGTTCGTCCGGCACATTGTCCAGAATAGCATCGTTGAAGGGATAAACGGACTGATCAAAATCAACACCAACAATGACATTGCCGGCACTAGTGCTCCAAACATTATCAATCGCGTCTCCTTTGTTCCGGGGCACATTCCGTGCCAGCGAGGTCAGAACGGACTGCTTCATCTTGTATGTCACCTGTCTGTGCATGCAAGCATACCGCCATAGCACCCGACAGATATTGTAATTTCTGCCTTTGAATGCAATTAGAAAAAGCATCTCCCACCCTTTTTTGTCCAATTGCGTCTCGGGGTGATCCAGACAACGAAACATGTATCGAATAGCGCACTGGATATCAGAGCGAAACAAGGGCAATATTGAGTTGACAGTGGCGCTGTCGAGCGCAAAGCCTTGCTGCTCGCATATTTCAAGCAACCGGTCAACTGCATCGTAGTCTCTCAATCGCACGGTGACACTTAACATCTGATTGATCAGGGTCGGGGAAAACCAGTTGGCCCCGTATGTATCGATAATCAAGTTAAAGAAAGCGTTGACACTTTTACCGTTTTGTAAATGCGCCAAGAATGTATCTTGTATCGTTAAATGCAATGCTGTCCGCATCGCGCCAGAGTCCGACAAGTAACCCTTCTGCAGCATAAAATTGACAAGACTTGCTTTCGCATTGGGGGAGACGAGACAATCAAGGAAAGCGAGCCAAGTGTAGGGGTTCGGTCGAATGTGCATTCGCGACATGGAGGTGAGGAAACCACGAAAGACCTGGATGTCCTGTCTCTTGGCCGCGGATTTCAGAAGCATATTAAACGTGTCAACTGTCGCGACATGTTCTGCCCTGATGAAAACCGCGCGAGCATCGTCCAAGATTTCATTGTCGAACAGATATGACAGTGCTCTATTCAATGCTGCAGTCGAAAAATACTCGCGGTTTGAGTCATTTTGGAAAAGAGAGACAAGCGCAGCAGCCACTCGCTCACGGTGATGAGTACCCGGTTTCCCTCTAATGACTTTTGAGGATGGCCGAGATCTGGTCAGTTCCTCCACATGTTCAGCGAACTCCCTGACACTCGATATTTTGGCAGACAAATCGAGAAGCGTGTCCAGTGGCGCAGGTTGCTTGAACGCCTGGTAAAAGTCCCAGACACCTCGGACAATTGGAACCGGAAGATTCTTGCGTCGTATGGCCTCGATGGAGGGGTAAACCGGAACGGGGGGCTTCCTTATGTCGACTAGAGGATCACCCTGTTCCTGTAGCGTTCGCGCCCGCATGATGTGCTCCCCGACCAATTCCACACTCCGCTTCGAACCTGACAAAATAACCTTCCTATGCTGCCCTTCGCTCTCTAGAGGGTGCAACACATGAACACGACACCCGTTGCGAACCGGCACATACCAGACATTCTCCTTCATCGCCATGTCCGTGATGCCCGCCATGAGCGCTACTGTTTCCTCCGGTAAAAGGAGCTCCTTTTGCACCGGCCCCTTCTTGGGCCACAGCCGAGACTCCTGTTGCATCTCTTCCAAAAAGTCTCCCACTCTGGTCCACCGACCCCATTTATCTCGTGGCCCATGGTCCCTGCCCATCCGCGAAAGATAAAGCCTATATCTCAATTTTTTCCGATCCCTAATCGACAAGCTCTCCATGACTCCGATGGCTTTGTCCTTGGCCGGGAAGTTCGTCATTGACGTTTGCGTGTTCGTGAAGATGTTGAACGGCCTCCGGTCCTCTCTTGTGGCGTTCGGTGACTTTTCGCCCGGTGTTTCCGATGCATACAGCGATGTTGACGACTCGTGGTCCGCACGGGGGCCCGTTTCGCTCGGTACAGTGTCATGGCTTTCACCTTTGTTGCCGGTGCTTTCTATTCCCTGTGGTTGCGTAGGCCCTATACTCCGTGTATGCTCAACATTTTTACGCCCCGGTAGTGAGCCAGCTGGCTCGGCAAGACCGGTCTCGACAGCGGAGTGAGTGGATATCCATCGCCGTGTGAGAATTCCGAAGGACGATTTCCGGCGACGAGATGACTCTCGGAGGACGGGACGAACTGAGCACAGCGGATCCTTTCCGGAGGGAGTATAATTTATTGACGGTATTAATATTTCTTTTCGCAAGGTCGACGTAAACCAGCGAGGGTAGAGAAAAAGTAAGGGTTCTTCGGGGCCAGCGGCGACGTTGTCCAAGACGGCGGATAGACCACGTCTTCTCAGACACGGATGACCGCGCGAGAACATATGGTAGGACACAAACGGATTCCCAGAGGCATGTGAGGTTGATTCGTCAAGAGAATGTGTCTATGTCGTGTTGCATGCGCACGCTGGTAGAAACTCGACTGGAGGTCAAGCTTGGTCTGGAGTTCAGGAAAATTGTCTGCGGTGCCAGAACGGCAGGCGGTGGGGTTCTGACCGCTCAAGCTTCCTCCAGGCGCAGCATCGGAAGCATTGCGGAATAAACGAATCTCAGCTAACCCATCGATGATGTCGAATTGAATTATTTAGGCCTTATAACTAGAAAGGCGTCTGGCAAAATTTTTTGCACAGCATTTTATTATTTAACGCTTGTACTGGGGGTACTAGACGCTAGAAGCAACAGGAAAAAAAGGTATCCAACGCTCAACAAACTCAACACAACCCTCGACATGCTGTCAGTTACAGCAAGCTAGCTGCCTCTCCATCGAAGGATTTACTTCCAGGGATCAGGAAGGACGTTGTATATGGCCTTCAAGACCAATTTCAGCCGCCTCGGGGATACCCTTGATCTGTCCGCCATTGTCGATCGGTTCGAACGAGGACCTTTTGGAGCAGTTCTCTAACAGATTATGCTTTGAGGCAGGAGTCAAGTTCATCGACTCATGGTGTTCGGAACCTAGTAACTCGGGTCCCGTGATATGCTGTCTCACTGTCTCTGCAGCTTTCGTGAGGTTGTGTTGCTTGCGCCGCATCTCTTCGGCGTCTGCATTGACTTTTCCGGCTGCTTCTCGCGAGAGGTTGTTGATGACATTCTCCAAATGGGTGAGGAACTGCCATCTCGAGTTTTGGAAGACAAACATCGACATGATTTCGGGGATCTACCAGGTAGTCAGTGGACTATTTAGTAGAGATGAGAAACGAGTGATTGAGATACCTTGTCATCCAGGTAGTGGAGCTCTTCGCCCCCATCCTCGATGAAACGCTTCAGAGCGTCTATCTTCTCACGATCAACAATGGCAGCCTTCAGCACATACATTAGTGTAGGAATGTTTCCTATCTCTTCCAACGGAGCCTCCTCTTCCACTCCAGTGGTTGTGCGACTCAGATTTCCCGACGGGGCTATTGAACTGGCGGCTTTGCTTTGCTTCCGCGGAGAGTGAATTGTAAAATAATCCTCGTTCAACATGTGAGCCATCTCGAATCCCGAGCGTCCACGATGTGTCTTCTCCACAGCGCGCTTTATGCGCAGCCTAACCCATCGTCGTCTTCGAACAAAAGAATGGAACCAGGGATGAGACCCATGCCAGGCTTTTGAGTTAAACGAAAGCGAATACTGCCAGCCCTGGTCGTCGACGTCGCCGGACATATCGACATACCATGTCGGCCAAGCCCATTCCCAGCTTGGGTCTGGCAGTTGGGCGTTGGTGATGTTGACGGGGCTCTCGCGGAAGTCGTGCGTGACCCAAGGGCCAGGGTCGAAATTGAGTAATGAGCTGTGCGAGTACAACGGAATGCCGAAAAAGAACCAGCCGCGCTGGTTCTCGTAGAGAATCTCCAATTCACTGACGGAACGAGCCCCTTTGGTGTCGTTTTTTGGGTCGTAGCCCTGTTGTTGGTGAGGCACCGCGGCATCGCGCTCGCCATTCGTTGAGGACGCGAAATCCGTCGCATCGATGTCATGCTGCTCGATCGCGGCTTGTGATGGGCCAGATAAAGCGCTGTCTCCAGATATGGTATTTGCATTCGTATTCATATGAGTCAATGGATTCACCGATGGTGACGGCATTTTGCTCGAGCTACTGTCGTCCGAGAGCCTCAGTCGGTCCGGCTGCCATTTGGCATACTTTCGTCGCTTGAGTTCACCACGGACGGACACTCTGCTGAATCGCCTGGAACCGGTTCGCGATCCTGTAGCCGAGGGGATCTGAGACAGCGCCTCTTCATCGGAGCGACGTGAGGGGTCGGTATGGTCGACGAGGGTAATCCGGCGAATGTCTTCCATGGTAATGTTGACTTCACGGATTACCTCGATGTTATATCAGAATTTAGTTAAAACAGGCCTCCAAGGTTGTCTTGGCAGGGCACTGTGACATTATCGCAACATGATATGGCAATCAATATAAGACACAGCAATGAATGGACGTAGATGAACGCGGCATCCACCGAAGCCCTCCCGACGAAAGAAAAGGGATGGGAGCAAACAGCTCTTATAAGCTGGCAACCCAGAGAAAATAGGACAAACAAACGCAGGCCTAGTATCAACTCAATCCCCAACAAACCTCGCAGATAGGACCAGAAATTGAAGGCACAAATAAAGGGGTAAACGTGCAACGTTCATGAAGCTTCCAAGGTCGCAAGCTATCTAGAGATCTCCCAAACCAGATCGATGACATCGTTGCGGGGCCGGGATCGACAGTTTGCCTTAGGCAGCAAACACAACACCTCAAGCACTTATGCCTGAGGCATCAATCCTCGACAATCACTATCGATAGGCAATCCGTCCGACCAGAGTAAATAATGATAGAACATCCCGCACCGCGTCCACCACCAACAAATGAACAAAACTACCAACCAAGCAGCAATAACAAAGATGTCAACCCCTCACTATCGCAAGATCGAGCTCCAATCGCCCGCAGACTTTACCTACCTCTACGCCAACACCGTCGCTCTCTCCCGCCAAAAGCTCGATCTCCATCTTCCCCCCTCGGCAAACACAAGCGATGGACCAGATCCCATGCGAGAACGCGTGAAGGAATTGGTCGACCAGGTACTACCTCTCTTCTCTCCCCTGTAATTAAAATGTCAATTCTACTCTAACAAAATGAGCCATAGTACATCAATCAAACATTCACCACCGCCTCCGCCTCAATCAGCATCAACGGCCTCGACTCCTCCTCGTCACAGTTCCCCTTCCCCGCTGCATTCACGCAACCAACAGAGACAATCGAGTACGAGCCCTACGATACCGAGCTCGCGGCACGCGTGACATCGCTCTACGCCCAGCTGGAGTCACTTACCACCACAGTCGCGCAGTTGAGGCGGGATGCGCCGGCGCGTGCGGCGAAGGCGTACGCAGAGCAATTGAAGAAAGCTATCGAGGAGGACGAGGAGGATATGGACGAGGACGAAGATGTTGACGGTGAACATGGGACTGAAAATGAGGATGGGGATGGTGAGGGTGAAGAAGACGTCCCTATGCCTGACGCGAATGCACAAATCACGACGCAGAATGGACCACGCAGGCTGCGCCGGAGACCCTCGAAATCGAATTCTGCGCGGTGGAACTTGCAGATTCCCCTCGGGTCGGAGCATGAGGCGGAGCGCTGGCGCAGCGGGGAGATGGCGGAGGTTTATGACGATGCGTTGCGGACTTTACTCCGGCTTCAGGGTGAGGTAGTCCCTGGCGAGCAAGTCGAGAGCGGGCCGGATGGGAATGCGCTGTCCTCGACGCTGGGCAAGGCTGAACGAGCGGATCGGGCTGCGGAAGTCGTGGAGAAGATGTGAGGCTGAAGTGTTTCCCTATTTTCTTTCTTTTTCTTTTTCTGGTTCTCGGCGATATCCCCCTGGTACGATATTTGGCGTTGGAATAAAGGCTAGTGGTAAGGTAGTGATACCAATCTCGTTTACAAACATCATTTCTGCATTTCTCAAAAATGCCAGTTGAGTTAGATCAAAGTAAAACTGTGAGAGAACGTCCAGTCATCTTTTGGACTATCCATAGTTAGTCAAGTGACCAAACTCCAGACAAGATAAATAGTTTATATTCAACCCTGCAATCCGTTATCATCCTTGTCCCCATCTATAAAAGCACCGCGCCACTCCGTCGGAGTTGTTGACTATCTATGTTTGGATATTGAGAAGAGGAAAAGAGATAAACACGTCCTCGGTCGGCCCTACAAGCCACTCCGCCAGGGTAACATTCGACCAGTTATTGAATTTATGCGATGTTCAAATGCGATCAGAAAGGACACGGTCGAAGGCACAAGGAGTGTGACAGTCCCAGGGAGGAGTGATAGAGACAGCATTGGTGAAGGACACACAGGCCGACATGGATGATAGCTGAATTCCTTTACCACATGAATCCAAGAATTTATGTATGCAAGGCAAACGAGAAGCACAGCAAGAAGGACATATAGCCTACGCCACGGGCTCAGAGCCCTCTTGCGCGGCAGGATCCTTCACCACAGGACCCGAGTCTTCATTTTTCACGACATTTTGTTCCTCCTTAGGTAGAGCCCACTTGGGCGGCTTAGCCCACTCGGGCTCTTGCCAGGGACCCATATCGCTGAGCTCACAGCCTCCAGCGCACTCGCAGGTACCGCCGAATTCAACGGGGAGGTTCTCGGCAGGGACCTGCTCCAGCAATTCCTTCTTGTAGTTGGTACCAAGGACGTGGATCTTCTGCACGGTGACGGGGTCGAGGAATCCCTTGACGACGTTGAACACGCCGCTGAAACCCCAGGGGGCATTAATCAGGTACAGCTTGCCCAGGCGCTCAGGGTAGTAGTTCTGCGAGACGGCGGAAGCCTGACGCACGTATCCGTACACGGAGGGGACGCTTGTGATTCCGACGCCTTTCAGGTCCATGATGGTGCAGCAGGTCTCGAGCAACTTGCCGGCCTTGCGCGAGCACGCGGGCAGCCGGGGGTCAGCGAGCTTCTCGTACTCGCACACGAGGTTCTGCAGCATGCGCTCGGCGGTTGTGATCTTGTACATGGCGTTGAGATCGATCTTGCCCAACTTCTCAATGTAGACAGGGCGTCCATCCTATCCGACAAAAGTATGTAATTAGCACGTAGATGACAAACCACCATCTAAGCATCAAAAAATGGCCTACCTTGTCTGTCTTGTGATAGTATTGAGGGTAGTACTGGAAGACTTGCGGCTTCTCCTTGTAGTCGAAGGTGCGAACGAGCTCGTCGGTGCCGAATTCTTTCCGCCACTTCTCACAATCGATGAACCTGGTAAAAGCAACGAATCCACGTATTAGCCGATGGAACAATGTTCGACATCCACTTTACAAAGGCCAATCGGCAGAGACAAGTGGCCCTTGAGAACAACCAGGCAGGACGGTTAACAAACATACATGGCCTTAGCGGCAGCCACATCAAATTTCCGGGCTCTCAAGAAGCGCAGCATGGTCAGGGTGTCCAGTCTGTCCGTGTATCCCAGCTGCTCCAGCTCACTACGGAGCTGCTCAACCTTTGCATCCTGCTCTGGGGTAGTGTGGCCAGGGTGACCCGGCTGGGGTTCAGGCGCCGTGGTCGGGAAATCGTAGTCATCATATTTCGACGTCGTGGCCGGCTTGTTCTCAGTTACAGCAGCCATGGTTGCTAATATGGTAGGATCGAATTTGAGAAGGATACAAGGTGAAGAAAGTTATGAAGACTTGATATGGAAATCGAGGGTTGGTCAAGAGCTTTATTGAGAAATTTATTGATCGAAAAGGGGAGGGGAGTGGGGAAATAGATAGATTGAGGGAGGCGGAGTTCCGAAAGTATAAGGCAGTCGACTTCTTGATTGCTTCAACGGTGGCAACCTGCAGTCGAGTGAGAGGAGAATGAAGGAGATTTATGTTGTAGATAGATCAGAGTATAACCACAGATGGCTAGAGTTTGGAGGAGAAGGATCAAATTGAGCTGGCTGAGGAATAAGTCTCTGTCTTCCGTGCTGTCGACCAGCAAGAGACGGTCAAGGAACGCGATACTAAGGGAGGGCCTCTAAAACGCAGCCGCTAGTGCATTAAGAGGGGCAGGCGAACTTGATGACAAGACAGAAAACTTGCAGACTACGGAGACAAACACTACGAGATCCACCAGTCTACAAAGTGTCGGTCTGCGTCCAAAATGCAAGACCGTATAGATACGGTTATCAAAGTCTTAGGTAAGTATAATGGCTAACAGGAGGACCATTCCTCCCATCGATAACAAAATACCTAGTGATACCTACCGACCTCCTGTGAGGCTGCAAAGTCACTTGGCTGGCATCTATTATCATTGAGGAAGACCTGGTTCATACATGTAGAGTTCATGAATACTAGATAAAGATATAGTTACATATTTACATAGACGGTCAGAGCTCATTACACCGGCGCATCTGTGCGACACATTTGTCTCATCAGAAGCAGGTCCATAGGGGGCATTGGTCGACTAGGCCGGAGCATGGATCTTGACCAACCCCAAGAAACAAACGACCCGGGCAATAGCACATGGTTCATCCAAGCTAAATCACAATGGAGAGTAGGGTGTCATTCAACAAGACACGAAGAGAAAAGACAGAAAGACATCAAGCCGAATAAGTTTACAGGCAGCGAAGAGACGCAGGAAAAGGCAAACCACCCGGTATAAGGCAAGATGGGACAGCAGATGCAACTCATACCGCCGAAGATTCAGAAACAATATAGTCGTGAAACAGTGGAGTATCAAGAAGCATTCACAAAATATCAATCATCCAACAGGTATAACGTTGCAAGCAAAAGACAACACACAGTGATAACGGCGAAAATAAAAAGCCAACAGGACAAAGTCAAGCCCAGCTATGGCGTGTTCCCGAACCAGCGGACATCCATAACCAAGGCGAGATATGTGCTCACCATATTACAAGGATGTTCCCGAGTACCAGCAGGATAAGAGTATAAGGTATCAAAGACAACAAGTCATAGGGTATCTGAAATTCGTCCCCTGCTCGAACGCCTAGCCCCCATGCGAGGGACGTGCATTGAAACAGGGAACGGCGTAGAATATCGTCCATCGCCGTTTCATAACGCGGAGCAGGTCTTCTCATGTTGAGCCCGCGACCAAACTGCCTTTAAGCAGCGGGCCTGAGATCTCGCCCTCGCTCGTCAAATGGAGAATTGTAACACAGCATGGCCTTTAGAACGAAGGATTTAGATTTTCTTCCGGACGTTTGCGGCCAGCCATCTGCTCCATCTCGTACACATCGTAATATCAAATCGTCTGGTAAGACACTGCGCCGAACATCTTACCAGCCCTTCTTCCGTGCAAACCGCTTATTGAGAAGCGTGAGCACCTTAGAAACGTTAAATTGGACGTACTCGAGATCGAGATCTTCAAGGTTGTCCTTTTGCATCTCCAGCAGATCGTCGAGCTTGAGATCCAGCTCCAAAAGACCTCGAGCACGACCTAGATACATAACACATGATCAGCCACCGCAGTAGAGTAAATAAACACAGACGGACAGCTGCAGCTGTACTTACCTTTGTAATGAAGACTGATGACAAAGGTGCCGGGCAGAGGGCTCTTGAACATGAAGTAGATGTTGGCTCGCCGGTTTTCCGGTACGTTGCTCTTCCGAATGACACCCTCCTTCTCGAGTTGCTGGTGGGTGAACTTGTATGGTCCCAGCTCCTGGTGCTTTTGTTGCTTGCGCTGCTTGCCCTCCGACTGACTGCGAACGTTGTGCAAGTAAGATTTGTAGGTTTCCAACTGGCCCACCAGGTAAGCATTGTGGTCGCGGATCGTTGCGAAAACTTCCTCGAGCTTCTTTGTCTCTTCAAGGACCTTCTCTTTCAAAGAGCCAAGGTGGACTAATTCCTGCTCCACCTCGTCTCGCAAAAGACTAAAGTCGTCGGAACGGTCAATGACGCCCATCTCCTGTAGCTGACTCAACAGCTCCATGGTTCGGATGCCCTTTCGCACCATCACCGCATCGTTCTTCAGAGTGGCTGCCGCCTCTGCGATTCGATCCAGCCGAAGCGGCCGTCGTGCGATCGCCGAGTTCGGAGGCAATGATCGCAGAATCTGCACGAAAGTCGATTTCGCTTCCATGAAAAACACTTCCTCCTGGGTGATATCGAGGGCGGCCGTCAAATCGTCAAGAGCAGTCTCCCATCGACTAAATAGAGGAACGGTGATCGTTCGGTTTTCCTTTCGCGGGACCTGCGCGGGTGCAGATCCCAGTTCTTGTAAGAGCTCGTTAAGGTGAGAGTGCTGATCCTGTGCCAGAGCCAGGCTGTGCTTTTCCAGCAGAGCATGAGTAGCATACATCTCATTCAGAGTAATCTGCAACTCAAGGTCGCGCTTGGAAAGAGCTACATAGTTATCCATTTCCAAGCTCTCGTAAAAATCTTGGACTTCACAAAGGTCCAACAAGAATTTGTTGACACGCTCCTTGTTCTGCTGGATGAAGGGCTGAAGCTTAGCCATGTATGGCTCCTTGGCATACGAAGGCTTGTTAGCCAAATTCTGAAGCATTTTCGCAATCAGAGTAAGGGTGCGACGAGGCTTTTCGGTGGGAACGGATTCGATAAGCATGTAGGACCGGGGGGTGACAATAGCGGGATTGATGAATCGGAGGAAGAAGAACCCGCCGATCAGTGTGCAAATAGTCTGATCTTGGGCATCCGGGTACTTGCGGCGAGACAAGCTCCGAATCTGCTTGCAAATCCATCGGATACCATAGGGAGCCTCGTCCACGGAGTTAATGATCGTCGTCAGGAACCCGTTTGCAATGTCGGTCAGCATTTTCAGCCGTGGCTCAATGAT